TCCTTTTTGAAACAAATCATCCTGTGAGTAACGACGGCGCATGATAGTGAGTGAAAAGGTGAAAATTCTCACAGTGTGACGGAGAGCGTGTAAGTGTAACGCAGTCAATCGAAGGTCGCGCGTGGAATTTTAGAACTTAGACCCAGGGTTCCAGCTGCATATTTTAACGCTGAGTACCTCAAAATGAACTATTCTGGGCAACCTTTATGATTTGGCGTCAATTCAGTTTCAGCTAACTTTCTCGTAGCTAAAATGGATTAGAAAATTTTATCGAATAAAATGAATTCAATGACTGGCACATGAGAGCTTTTGTGGCTTCGCAGTTTAATGTTTTGAGAACTTTCGTGCCACATGCACAAGTAAAACGTACCACAATATTCGACAGAATAAAGGAATGGACTTCAAACAGCGTTTATGCAATTCAGTCGCTGATTATCTGTATGACTCCCTTATTACGCGTGGGATGGATTACGTAACACTATGCTACCGGACCAGGTGACACGAGTCAGTTGAGTAAGGGTCCGAACCTGGGCGTGAGATACAATCGTGAACCGTAAGAAAGGGATTCTCAGGGCACGAGGTTCGCAGACGATCGGCTATGAATTTGAAACATGAGTGCATGTATTCAAAGGACCAGAGATAGATGAACAGGACTCATGATGAAACCCGACCGATGCGGTGCGAAGTGCACGTCAACCCGAAGTTTCTTGCGGTATGAAGCTGTTTTGTAGGTCAGGCAGACACGACTCCCAATTGGAGTAACAGCTTAAAAACTTTTGAAGGCATGTCGAAGCATCAGAATACGAAATTATGGTGCTCAGAAATCGAATCGAATTTTCTTTGCTTTCACGGGAATTCGTAGATACATTATAATCTCTGAGTCATCGTTGTGTTGCGGTGCCTCTCTTGGGGAGCTTATATATTTATCCCATTTTAGTGTTCTTATTGTTAACTAATTGACACAAAGGTCAACAAATGCACCGGTAATGAGACTCCGAAGGGATGAAACAGCTCTCCAGGGGTTTTGGTCGTCTTTTACAATACTTGTTTGATAATTATAATGCTTCTGATACATTAGGATCTCGAGAATATTATCTTTCTGCAGTGTAATTCTGAAAAAAAATATAGTGTGTTCTGCTTGCTCTTTTAATGGTCGAATAGGACTATGGATAGTTGTTGATTTTGTCTCAGTTATACCACGGAACTGCACGTGAATGTTATCTAGCTTAGTATATCATTCATCAGCAGTCTTCCAGACTATTCTACTGACTGAAACACAAGGAATTCTAGTTAAATTAAAACGCTTATTTATTATCTGTTATCCACAACTCTGCAAAATGCTAAAATGGGATTACATGCACCATAACTTTGACACATACAAACTAGGCGTACTCACTTACCCTCTAGCCCGGATCTGTGGATTTTCTTAGTTGATTCGGTCATTTTTTGAACTAGAGACAAATATCAAATACATAAGACCATGTTTCAAAATTTACCGGCGGATGGGGTGGGGAAAATGCACACAATTACCAAGTTTGAAGTAGAATGCGGTAAAAGTTGACCGGTCTGTGATTCCAGAGATCTGCTTGAGGGATACATTGCAAAAATTGCCTAACATTGTTCAGCTGTGGAACGGATTAGAAAAATCTACGAAAAACGATTAGTTTCAGTGCACTTTACCGGCACTGGTTTGTGATCACCAAGACGAACTGAATTCACAAAGAGAAAGTAGCCCATTGAACGACTTTCAATGGTTAGCATGTGCTGGTAGTCCACTTTGGATCAACACTTACAACGGTTTTGATACGTGCCACTATTCAGTGATCTGATTTTAATGGACATATATAAAATCATTATCTTCTGTGTGGGTATGTTATAAATCCAAAGATTTGCACGTCACCGGCAACTAACATTTGTTTGACAAGATTAGCGAATCAATAAATTCTTGTGTGCTGTCCGCCATTTTTACAGTAGTCAGAGTTTGACAACAGTGCAATATAATCATTTGATATAATCCCCAGATCTGCATTCATCGGGTTATAAAATATCCTAGCAACTTGGATCACATGATAAGGCAGTTGTCAAGGTGACTGTAAGAAGAACTTGGGTTCACATAGAGACAGTGAAGTATACAAAAGTGATAACCATGTTTATGTCTATACAAGGTTTCAGGTTCTAAATAGGAATACAGTTTAATTTTATGAAGAGTAATTTATTCAAATAGCGAACTTGCTCTTCAGACATCTACTAATATATGGACAAACCAGCCAGTCTCGTAAGTAATAACGAGGACACGTTTAATCTCCCATACACTTCTCTATCTGGTTCAGAATAGTCTCGACCAATTACTCCGACGTCACATGATCCTGTGTGTTGCTGAAGGTGTCTGGCTTACTCACTCCACAGATGATACCAGACAAACCCGATCCATTGCCGGATAAATATGAAAAGATGAGGAGAACTGGTGCGACCATCATGGGATTAATCAATTTCATTAGAAGTATGCAGCAGATGGATTTCCTGGTAATTTAACCACACATGCCACGTTTCTCCTAACTCATGCATTTGCTTTGAGTAGGACTCAGAACAAAGGAAATAGATCTGAAGGTCAGGGATGAATTTTCCTTGCAAGCGAGTAACATGAAGCAGTGACAGATATTTATTCGCTTCAGTCTCATTGACTTAGTCAGATGCATTTATATCGGTTTTCATCTGCTATGGAAAGCGAACCGATTGGAGGAAGCAGATACATTGAGGTGAAGTGAATTCACATCGGTTCCTTCCTTACGCCTGCTGGTGCTGGATTAGATTAATCTCATTGTTGAATTCACTGACGTTTACCATACTTGTTGTCCCAAAATATTGTAAATTTTTTAATTCTTCTTAAAGTCGGATTATTTACAACTGAAAAACACTGATAGATCGAGGTGGACAACAGTGTCGCGAACAAGCTGGCCTCCTCTACTTAACCTACCGGCTAATCACTTCACAAGAAGCTGACTGTGCGGATGAGGTGTTTCAAACTTTACTACTGGGACGTAAAAGGGATTATGAAAGTCTTTTGCCTTTAGTTTTGACGGTCCTTTTTAGGTTTGTCTTAATGAATCACATAAAAATAGCTGTTCAAGGACGAGCATAACTATTCAAACTTCTCCAGAAATTTTCTTCACCAATAAGATCTATGGAATACGAAGAGGTTACTTGTTAACATGAAATTGTTTCGCTAATTGCCAACTTTGAGTACATTGGTCCAGATACCGCGGGTAGATTTTGATAACCGAGGGCCTGAAAGTGTATGGTGTAACGGTCATCGGTTCATTAAGATTTCTTTTTCCCTTTGTTGAACGAATAGTAAAACTGGGGAACAAGTTACTGTTGTGATCGTCTGACACCCAAAGCTATGGATACACAATGTCAGACAGATGACATAATAGTGAACAGCGTTTCTTATTAGTAACAAGGAACAATTTCTGTCTTGCGCGTACTTGACTTATACTCGGATGACAATAAATAGAAACGAGTCAACACTGAATGACTATCTTCTTTCTTCAAATGCTACTCGTCACAATCAATCGAGCCATTTTCCTTCCGGTTACTGAACTTATCTTTCACTGAATAAATATCAGGCAAAAGACAGTATGACTACAGATAAAATTGCTCACTAAATTTGTATGAGTTAGAATGGTTATGTCATGAGTAAAACGGATGCTGGAAGTGTGAAGATAACTGCATCCAGCCTGTTTAGTCTCAAACAGTCAATAACCCTTTACATAAACCTTTTTGAATCATTAAATAGTTTTGTCGAAAATGCAACTGATGAGAGTGCGGTTATCTCCCAAAACGCCTCACTGGATGTTCAAGATGACCTGTGACTGCTTGTGCTGGTGGTAGCTGTCGTGCGCGCGCGCGCGCGCTCGCGTGCACGCGTACTCGTGTGGATGCATGCATTTATATAGCCCTATACACCAAAACAACAACCTGACACGTGATCAGCTTCGAGAAAACCACCCACTCTGTGACACCACCCTGTTCGAGTGGCGACTGCGCGCACTCCTGGGGACACACGTAAACGGGTGTGAGGGTATAAACCTGACGTATATCACATTCTTCCGCAGCCTACTCCAGCAGATATTTCCTCAAGCGTGATAGGTCAACTTTCGCTTGTATGTGATTGGTTAATGCATATTGCTTCGGTCGGCACCCGACAGACTATGAGCATATGATTGTCGCCATTGTGGAACAAGCTGTCAGAAG